AAGGGGTCTGCCCTGTTTATTTACCAAAATCTTCGTAACCACTTGGGGATAGTTATCTTATCAGCTGTGTGCATTCAAGCAAGAAGTAGTATCCTGTGGTCCGCTACACTTGACACCCTGAATAAATACCATCTCATGCATTAAATAAAAGATAAGTAACATGCACTGAATAAAAAAAGAAGTTAGTCAGCTTTCATTTTTTGCTTTGAAAAACAAAAAAGGTATGACACAGGTGAAACAAAAATGGCACTGAAGAAAAGGGCATGGCAATGCGCCACAATAGTTTCCCTTTGATTTAACATTTAGTCTAATATTTTCATTTTTACAGCATAGCTCATGAGGTTGTGGTGGGGCGGGAGCAAAATATACTGCAAGATCAGCAAGAATAAAGTTATACATAAAATGTCCAAAGCTATACATAAAAAACATTTAGTCTAATATTTTCATTTTTACAGCATAGCTCATGAGGTTGGGGTGGGGCGGGAGCAAAATATACTGCAAGATCAGCAAGAATAAAGTTATACATAAAATGTCCAAAGCTATACATAAAAAAATTCAAACAAAGCATTTAATTTATTTATATTTTCAATTTAACGAAAGTGATCATATGTTCCCATATGGACTTATCATTTCAGGTGTCACCACTGCTGGAAACCGAAGTCAGCAAAAGAAAGATCATTTCAATTGAAGAAGACGGAAATGTGGTGGAAGTTAAACTCTGGAATGAGGAAAGCAACAAAGAGTGCCCTGTAGGAGAAATTGTCAAGCTGAAATGTCTGTCTGTGGATATTTACAAGGATAAATATTCATTAAATTCAACCAAAAACACAACCTGTGAGGTTTGTAAAATTCTTAATTGCATTATTATTGCAGGAAAATTTTTAATAGAATTCAAACAATATTCTAAAGTAATTAATTACTGGCCAGTGCATAAGAATCATTTTGCTTATGCATTGAAGTTTTTCAGTTACCTTAGTGACAGAAGTGGACTGTTAGCAATTATTAAATGTTTGTTCCAATTTTATGATGTCCACTGTTTAATTTCTGAGAATATATTGTGAATCTATCCAAAACGAATGTGTGAATAATTCACCAATGACCAAGCACAAGAAAATTGAAAATGTTTCTGATGGCGTGGGACTTCCATACAGAGCTGCCTCACACTGCACAATCATTGCAAATTTAATGCAGCTATTGGGACTCAAGATTCTTACAAGAGGATCATTACCAATACACTTGGTACTAAAATTTTCATTATCTAAAGCAATTAAAGTTGCATGCAGCAATTTTTAAATATACAGAACTTTTCTTTACAGATTCTGCAGGAGGATGACGACTTTGCTGGAACAATTGAAGCTGCAAATTTTGATCAGTATGTAAATTTGGTTGTATAAATATATACCATTTTAAGAAATATGATTATCTGAGAATTTCTCAAATTCTGGAAACTTTTCTCATATTTCATTGAAATGAAAAAATATTTTATTTCAATAGAGCTGGACAAAGCGTATACATTAATGGTATGATTCTGAAAGTAGAGGAGAGAGACCTCGACAGAATTTTTCCTTTGGGAATGTTCACAGAGAATGTCTCAATTGCTGGGAAAAAAAGGGGCTCCACAATAACAACCATGTAAGTTTCCATTGTTGGAATCATGTAATTATTTCATAATCACAACAAAAAGCATTTAATTTGATAAGAAATTTTGCATATCATGAACACATCTTCTATTACGCCCAAAAGCTTAAGTGAGCTTTTCTGAATAAGATATTCAATGCCTAATGACCATATTTAAATCTAATAAATGAATGGTGCGATTTTTGTAATCATCATATCCATTTGAAGGTGTTTACAAATAAAAATACTCCACCTAAGGATTTTACACAATTTTGATTATTGTCCAATTAATTGTACCTTGAATTTTACATTGAAATCTATGGGAGGAGCATGATTTTTAAGATATTGTAAAAAGTAATTTCATTTTCATACAAATCTCTTGGTAAAAATATGCATAAATCCTCTCTTTATTAAAATATAAAATAAAATGATTTTCAGCAGATATTTTGAGAAAATTAAAATTTTCTTATTTTTGTCAAGGGCAGGTAACTCTTAAAAAAAACTTGAAGCTGCAAAATGGCCACCTTCTAATATGTTACCAGTCATGTGAATTTGGTTTGTCTCACTTTCATCGTTATTTAGCAATACATATCTAACTACTTTAAAATGATTCTAAATTGTTCAGTATCCCTTCAATGGGGATTGAATGTCCATTTATTGTGTATTATCTGTTGTTTGTTTTGTACAAACTTTTTAGACTTCTTCAGAACCATTGACTAAATAACTTCAACAAAACTTGCCATAAAGCATCTTAATGAAGCTGATTCATATTTACAAAAATTAAGGGCCACATCCTCTTTCAAGGACGATAATTAAGAAATAATAAAATATGGTGAGATCATTTGTAAACATCCAGAACCGGTGAACCAGCAAAAAAAAAAAAAAAACGTGACATCTTCCTTGTATATTGAAGAAGATTCAAATTTGTTTAAATAATATGACCCCATGAGGTGAGATTGGAGCCAGAATAAAGGATTAAAATTTACAGAGGATTTCCTAAATTCCTACCATTTTACAACTGAGTCCAGGGTCTGTAGAATTGGAAAATTGATGTGAAATTGTTATCAGAATATAATATATTCAGCTTATTGACAGAGCTACAATTCAATATTGTTTTTGCTGGCAACTGTTACTTTAATAAATATAAATTGTCATCATAAATGACACCATTATTGTTGGTATCCGAGTCAGTGAAAGAAGTGATTTGAAGTCGGTAAAAGAAGTCATTGAGAAAATTCTGGAAATAATAGTCTAGCATTAGAGGAAAAAAAAGGGATAGCCAGATAATGAGAACCACACATCATTAGAAAGTAAAGATCACTGTACAGCTCATGAAAGAACATAAATAGATTGCATACACATTGTAGAACTCAATTGACCTTTTATTTACCATATTTGAATTTTTTAGTGAGACAATCACCCACAAAGATTCTGATTGAATTGAAGGCAAATTCGAAAAAGATGGTTACCAGAGGAGAAGATGATCAAGGCATTGATTACAGCCAAGTAGCTGAGCCTGTCAGTAATTCCGTAGAGTTCCATAGAAAACCAATCAATGTAGGAATAGAAGTGTTAATTTTTTAATGTGACTGTCATCCATGACCATTCCAATTGAATAAAGAAAGAGCAGGTTTTCTGACACCATAACTAGAACAGAAGATGTTCAAGATTGGAAACTGTAGCTTTAAATCAGCTAAATAGCTATAAGTAAGGCCAAAAATATATACTTTTGTTTCCAGTCACTTAACTGTCCCTACATTTTACCACCTGACCCAAAAAGTTTTTATGGCAGATATTGTGATCCATAAAAAACAAGTATTATTCCCCTTAATTTCTCTGAAAATGATCCCATTTGTTTTTTTATCACAGTACATGCAAAAATTAAAATGTCTTAAATAAGTATGTAGATTTACTTTGAAAACAGATAAAAATGTACTGGTAATGGCAGCTATTACTGAATGAAAGGTCTGACTAATATCAGAAATAAAACCTTATTTGTTTAAATAATAGCATCATAAAACCTGCAGAAATTGGAATCTTAAATTAGTTTATCTACTTTAAGAACTCTGAAAATTTACAAGAAGATGAAAATAAAAACATATTTTATTGCACACTATTAATAGCAGCCATTACTGAACTTGTGTCTGACTAATATAAGAAATACTCCACTAGAGATTATTCTTTACAATATAGACTACTCTCAGGAGATTTTATGTAAAAGAGGGGAAATATTTTTTATTTCAAAAAAAAAAATGTGGAAGATGCATATTTAACACAAAGATATATATATGTATATAGAAAATAATATAATGTTAAATTATTTTTCAGAAAGGCTAATATTAAAATCTACAGAAAGTATGTATAATGATAAATTCTCACACTGACTGTATATTTTGTTCTCCATGTTTTTTTGTTTTGATATCATTTTTTTAAATGTCACATTTCCTAATTAGGTAAAAATGAGGAAATGAACATGTAACTATGAGACTTCATAAAGCTGTTAGTTTAATAGGATGAATCCACACTACACACTATGCTACAAAGACAACTACAAGTGTATTTCTAAAGGCATATGCAAAAAATGTGAAAGTTATTTATCATATTTTTAGATTGGCTCAGAAAAAAGAAACCTAAGGCACATTTTTTTTCATGTTGCATTATAATTAAACATAAGACGGGGTATTCATGTCATTTGGACATATTTCTATACTACAAGGCCTCTGTGATGTAATTGTGCAGTTGTTATTGTACTTACATATATGATATATTTGGTCTTCATTGAATTTTGAAAAAAAAAAAATTCTTACTATTTATTACCTACCCCAATTTTTTGGTCTTGGGGGACAGGAAGCAAGAATATATCTATTTGGCATAGTTTCTTAGAGCACCATAGAAATGTAGTGAGTAGAAGTGTTAATTGTGTTTTGTGACTGTACACCACAAAGATTGTGAATCAAGTCCAGGAAAGTTGATTTGCAAACACCTTAACCAAAGTATAAGATGGTCAAGGCTTTGAAATGAGTCATAGGTGTGAGTAATTTCTTAGACCACCAGGGAAAAAAAGCAGTGAATAGAAATTTTTTGTTTTTAAATAAACCATGATATTAAGTATGGCAAAGTAATATTTTGGAACTTTTATCCTGATTGTTTTCAACTTCTTGACCCCAGTATCTTCATTCCATGATAATTTTTGTAGAAAGACCGTAAAAACTTGAGAACAAAAAAATGTTATTAAATTTAATATCCATCATTATATAAGACAAGAAAACTTTTGTTGATGCATTTACAGACTATATATGAGAGGCAACTTCAGTATCTACTTCTTTAACTTTTGAAATGCTTGCCATGCCTGTGTGGAGGGATGTATATATGTTAATAATTTCAAATTTGAAATTATGTAGCTATATAGAAGGTCACTATCATATGCCATGACAGATATGTTAGGTAAACAACTTTGTCATTTGAGCTATAAAAACTGCAAAGTTCGATTTTTTTTATTGATCAGGTTAATTTCCCAATACTTATTTTCACAAACTGAAGGGAAAAAATAAGTGTTCTCATTGTGTATATATATATACACAAGAAACAACAATTCATGGAAGAATATAAAAAGAATTGATATACACTGTTATTGCAGGAATAAATGTGACAGAACTTACTTGACTTCCTTGTTTTGTGTGAAAAAGAAGAAAGTGTGATATAAAGCAAAAATATTAATGGATATTTGAATCACTCGCAGAATTAGATATTCATTAGTAAAATTGGATGATCCCTTAACATTTGAAATTTCCACTAAAATAATCAATCTTATGTCCCCATTGAAAAAGGAGGGATATTGCTTTGAACCTGTCAGTTGATGGGTTTTTAAACAAAACGTTGTCCGATCAATGTCTTGAGAACCCTTTGTTTTACAGACAAAAACGTGATTCATTAGTACCCCTTTAAAAGTAGATCTCACCTTTTGATTTGAGGTCACAAGGTCAAGGAAAAAACTACCCAGGATATATGAAAATGTCCAATTATCCAATTAATGTCTTTAGGACCCTTTCCTTGACAGACTTTAAAATACGTACATTCGTTCCCATAAAGAGTAGAATTTTGAGATCACAAGGTTAAAGGTCAAGTTTAAAATTGGACATGGAAAGATATCTTGAGAACCCTTTACATGACAGATGGCAAACTTGGTACACCAGTACCCCCTGAGGAATAAAATATTTTGAAATCAATGAATTTTATGAAACTTTCAGTAAAGATGGAAAATGACTTGAACCTTACGCATTTTTAGCTCACCTGAGCCGAAGGCTCAAGTGAGCTTTTCTGATCAAAATTTGTCCATTGTCTATCATCGTTGGCGTCGTCAGAGTCTTAAACTTTTTACATTTTCATCTCCTTCTCAAGAACCACTGGGCTAATTTTAACCAAACTTGCCACAAAGTATCCTTGGGTGAAGGGGATTCAAGTTTATTTAAATGAAAGGCCGCGCCCTCTTTCAAGGGGAGATAATAAAGAATTAGTGAAAAATTAATAGCATCTTTTAAAAATCTTCTTCTCAAGAACCACAGGGCCAGGAAAGATGAAACTCAAGTGGAAGCATCCTCAGGTAGTGTAGATTCTATGTTGTTCAAATCATGACCCCCGGGGGTAGGGCAGGGCCACAATGGAGGATCAAAGTTTTACATAGAAATATATAGGAAAAACCTTTAAAAATCTTCTTCTCAAGAACAACAAAGCCATGATGAGTCATATTTATATGGAAGCATCTACAGGTAGTGTAGATTCAAGTTTGTTCAAATCATGACCCCCGGGTTAGGGCGGGGCCACTATGGAGGATCAAAGTTTTGCATACAAATATATAGGAAAAATTTTAAAAATCTTCTTCTCAGGAACAGCAAAGTCCTGATTGATCATATGTAAAGCATTCAAGGTAGTGTAGATTTTATTTTGCTCAAATCATGAAGGGATAATGAAAAATGTGAAATTTTGCATGCAGCTTTTCATTTTGCAGGATTAAGGGCTTGAAAAAAGGCACATGGACAATTTTTTATTTTTCTATAAATTCTTTTAATATATAAATATTTTGTTAAGATACATTGAAGTTGTGCAAATTATCAGAAGCAATATAGATCTTAGTTGAAAATTTTTATTTGATAACTCTCAAAGTCAATATTTTGTCATTACCAGAAGTAGATATATCTAGGCTATTTTTTTTTTATGTCGTATGGTACATAATTAAGGGCCACAAGGGGCCAGAATGCTAAATCTTTGATGCTTTATATCTCGAAAGGGAGAAATATTTTGATAATCAATATTGAACAAAAGTTGTTCAAAATCATGTTTTAAACAATATGCAACCTTTCATTTTTTCCTAAACGTCCCCGTTAAGGAGTTGAAGGGTTGGCCCCTAATTATATCTTTTGCTTTTAGCTCAAAAACAAATAAGAATTTCTGAACAGTTGTTGAACAAAAAATGTTTAAAATCTTAAAATCTTTTTAGATGAGACCCCGAAAAAGGGGCTTGGCACTCGAATTAGGGGCCAAGAGGGGCCAAAAGTCTTCAATCGATAACTCTTTATCAGTTAATATTTTGTTATACATTACTGAAGCAAATATCTTTATCTCAACCGTCTACAACTATATATTATGGTTTTTATGTCGTATGGTACATGATTAGGGGCCACAAGGGGCCAGAATGCTAAATCTTTGATGCTTTATATCTCAAAAGGGAGAAATATTTTGATAAGTAATATTGAACAAAAGTTGTTCAAAATCATGTTCTAAACAATATGCAACCTTTCATTTTGTGCTAAACGCCCCCGTTAAGGAGTTGAAGGGTTGGCCCCTAATTATATCTTTTGCTTTTAGCTCAAAAACAAATAAGAATTTCTGAACAGTTGTTGAACAAAAAATGTTCAAAATCTTACGATCTTAAGATGAGACATGCTTTGAAAAAGGGGCTGGGCACTCGAATTAAATGGGCCAAGAGGGGCCAAATGATTCAATCGATAACTCGTTCATCAGTTAATATTTTGTAATACATTACTGAAGCAAAGATCTTTATTTCAACCGTTTACAATTATATATTATGATTTTTATGTCGTATGGTACATAATTAGGGACCACAAGGGGCCAGAATGCTAAATCTTTGATGCTTTATATCTCGAAAGGGAGAAATATTTTGATAAGCAATATTGAACAAAAGTTGTTCAAAATAATGTTCTGAACAATATGCAACCTTTCATTTTTTGCTAAACGTCCCCGTTAAGGAGTTGAAGGATTGGCCCCTAATTATATCTTTTGCTTATAGCTCAAAAACGAAAAAGAATTTCTGAAATATTCAAAATCTTAAGATCTTTCAGATGAGACCCCGAAAAAGGGAATAGGCATTCGAATTAGGGGCCAAGAGGGGCCAAAAGTCTTCAATCGATAGCACGTTATAAGTTAATATTTTGTAATACATTACTGAAGCAAAGATCTATATCTCAACTATCTACAACTATATATTATGGTTTTTATGTCGTATGGTACATAATTAGGGGCCACAAGGGGCCAGAATGCTAAATCTTTTATGCTTTATATCTCGAAATGGCGAAATATTTTGATAAGCAATATTGATCAAAAGTTGTTCAAAATAATGTTCTGAACAGTATGCAACCTTTCATTTCTTGCTAAACGTCCCCATTAAGCAGTTGAAGGGTTGGCCCCTGATTATATCTTTTGCTTTTAGCTCAAGAACGAATAAGAATTTCTGAACAGTTGTTGAACAAAAAATGTTCAAAATCTTACGATCTTTAAGATGATATGAATAAAGAGGACCGATTCCTAAAATAAGGGGCCGTTAGGGGCATAAGGACGATTTTTTAAAGTCTTTAATGTTCAATGTCTTTTTACAGATTGTGGTAAATCATTATTTTAGAATGAAAATCGTATCAAAATCTTATCTCATCTCATCAAGAATTGGACGGAAGACCCACTCGTTGCTCGCAACGAGATCTCATCTAGTTAAGGTCTTCCGACTTCCTTC